AAAAAAAAAAAAAAAAAAAGATTTAAGTAATAAGATTCCCAAAATAAGCCGTTAAAATCTGGTTAGAGTGGTGCTCAATAATCTTTTGCGCGAATGACGTAATAAACAATTCCCATGCCTCAATTCAAAAAATTTAATAAGGATACGGCGGATAGAATTCTACACAAACTCAACTGCTGAGCCAGTGAATTAAAAGGTTTCGTACCAACGAAAAAGGCTGCATTATTTTGAAATTGTTATCTACCTTCTTTCGGCAACTTCTGTATTACATTTACTGCAGCTTCAAATAAGTCCCCAAGGTTATTGCAGCTGCCGCCAACTGGCGGAATACTCCTCAAAAGTTGAACGTAATAAACCATTCTGCAAAATCTAATCTTCAGGACAATAAAGAACTACTCAGAAATTGAAAACTGCTTGCTTCTTTCTCGACTTAACAGAAACGAGTCAATGGGAATCCAATAAAGAACAATTTCAGACGTAAAAATAAGACCTCCCTCTTCACTTAAAAATTCGATCCATCTTCTCTTGTAGCAACAGTTTTGCTTCAATCATTTAAAGCCAAGTTAACATTTCCTTTCTTCCACTTATAAAAAACAAGAATAAAGCATAAGATAACGAAATAAAAAAACGTGAGTGTTACTTAAAACGACTTCGCAGGATCAAATGTATTACACTTAAAATTTATTCGCTTACTAAATTTACAATCAAACAGTCACAAAAATTAATAAGCAATGCAACAAAAACAATGCCATCCAATCGCATTTATGAGCAATATAGACAACTGAACAGACAAAAAATCAACAGTAATTCCGAAGAAACTTTATTTCAAAATGACATCACCAGTAACTGCTCGAAGTGCATGTAAAATCTGCTTCTTTTCCACTGAAAAACAAAGCTTGCTAGCAAACCCCCTTGGAAACAGTCCTTACATAAAATAATAAATCAATAAAACAGTTTAAAATTGCCCTAAAAAGAGAGATTTTAAAACCAAAAAGTAAAACAAATCCAGCATTTACCTCTGTTTTCTGTTGATTTATAGGTAATATATAGGTTTCTTCGATTCATTCGTAACAAAGCTTTTTCACAAGAACGAACAGAACTTCCTGAAAAGCCAAAGTTTTCGCAAAACGCTCAAACAAAACGTACGTAATAAGGCAACTTGCAAGTAAAAATTAAATGTAAAATTCAAATATGTTCATTAAGAAATGACCTAGGAAAAGAACTTTCAGAACAACCGGGTTATCCATAACAGACCGAACGAAAGGAATACTTGCCAATATTCGGTGACACAGCTCAGCAGAGATACGAATTACAGTAACACCAGTAGTAGAATCAAAAACCTACAATTAGTAAAAAAATTAGGAAGACGACAATAAATTTTAAGATAAAAAAGATGAATATTGTGAAAAGATTCATACCAATCACCTTAACAGATAAGGATGGCTTCGCTGCTGCAATTCCGAAGTCTCCATACATGCTAGCTATTTCCTTACACAATGCATTGTAAATTGCAGTGTCGGTGACTGTGACGCCGATCTCATTGAATAACAGCTCCATTAATATGTATCTGTAGAACAGAAAAACATTAAACGACAAAATTAGAACTAGTAACTAACAAAACAGAAATTCTTACCTGTTTTTTAATTTGACCATTCCTGCGACTGCCCTCTAAAACTCGTTCTTAAAGAGCAGCTTCCAACAGCAACGAAAAAAAAAAAGAGAGAGCGAAGCACCGAATAACCTTCAAAGTCATAGAACGTTAGTTACTTTACAAACACCAAATATTAGAAAAAAAAGCCCCAAAAAAATCGGAAACAACTAAAGTTTTTTATATTACAAGATAATCTCTCTGCCTGCAACAAAAAAATGATAAAACCAAAGTGAAATCAGAAAAAAACCTAGACACTACATGAACATAAAAAAACTTGAGTAAAAAAAGTTAAAAATTATAGACCAAATAAAACTCTTCTCGAAATTGAAAATTCAATCTTCAGTACAAGAATAATTTTAAGTTACAACAAGAACTGTTGCCAATTATAATTTCAAAAGTTGGCTTTTTTTAGAAAGGCCATTAATACTGAATCAAATTTATTAGAAATACAAGGGGGTTGCAATAAATAAACCAGACAATCACCATATACCAGACAAACAGCCATTAAAAGCAAATTTATCAGCATTAAAAATAACAGTTCTGCCACCATCTTGGGAACGCCACCGTATCTCTAATATTCGGTATGCCCAGAAGTGTTTGTAAAAACCTCTCAATACCAATACCAAAACCTCCAGAAGGAGGCTGGCCTTGCTCCCGAAGATTGATATACCAGTCCAGAGAAGGCCCACAATTTCTGGATCGTAATTCGTTAGGATCATTTTCTCTCAACGAACCCCCAACCAATTCGCCAACAACACCAGATAACAGGTCGAAACATTCAGCCTGCATTTAAACAGTAGCATAGCAAAAAACAACTTTATTCGTTAAACCCCACGACTTTGGTAGCGCGAGAGTCAATTATCTTTTTGAAAAAAATTACATTTGCTCCATCAGGAGTGCGACGCATGTAGAACGCCCGTTGGCTGTGCGGAAAATGAGTCACAAAAACAGGAGACTTGCAATATTCCACAAGCGCCAATTCCTGCTGTTTCGTTAAACCTTTTCCGGAAAAACACTCGCCTTGTCTGTCTAAGATAGATTTAGCTTCTACGAAAGACAACCTTGGAAAGGTGGCAGAAGAGAAAGACAACAACAGAGGTTTAAAACCCTGAAACTGTGAGAGAATTATTACACCACACTGAAAAGAATCATGCACAACAAACATTTAATCGGCGTAAATAAAATTGCAAGACTCACATGACACACAAACTCAAAAATTATAAGTCAAAGATCCGCCAATTTAGGCTCAAAGATGCTGACTTAAATATAGCATGTTTCTTGCCCGAAAGATTATAAATATTATCATATATTTAAGCGAAACTCAGAAAACAGACAGTTTGACATAACAAAAAACCTCGCTTGAGAATGTCGACGACGTAAGCTAATAAGTATGTCAACACGTAATTTTTTTGGTTAAAAAACACATCAGTCATACTAAACTCTCAATCAATTTGGCTGCTACATCTATGTAAGCACACAGCATTAACACTACGGGTCCCATAAATTCAACTTTTCAAAGAACCCTCAAACTATGAAAGTTTGTCACTCTTACTTAATTGTATCTGAACTACTAAAATGTCACATCTAAAAAAAAAAAAACAATTGTATCATACCTCCGAGCAAAAATTCTTTTGAAGCTTCTCGTACTGTGACATCAAAGATGAATCAGTTCTCAGGAAGTTGACAATATAACCAATATATTTTTCAACCAAATCACAAACTTCTTCAATCTTGTCCACGAAACCAACTTCTGCTTCCAACATTTGAAATTCTGCTAAATGATGTCTTGTAAGTGACTTCTCAGCCCGAAACGTATTCCCAATCGTGTAAACTTTAGGGATCCCACTGAAATTGGAGTAATCCTATCCTACATCTAAAACTGCATCCTTGTGATTTACCTTCACTGAAATCGACAAATGGCGGCTATTCTTGCATTTTCTAGCAAAATTTGTAAGTTGTTTGCAAATCAAATAACAGACAAAAATGAAAATTTTTCAAAATAAATTGCTTTCCACCTTTAATGCCGACAATTGCTAGAGTCCATTAGATCTTACTTGGCTTTGATATAGTTCCTCTTCCCTAACTTCAAAAGAAAATTTGAAAAGCAGATAAATATAAAATGAAAAATGGTAAAAAAAGAATTCCCAGAAAGATTTTGAGGTTTTCACAACCAGCCTTCTATTTTTTGAAAATAATATGTACATACAAACATGACGAGCTTGTTATATTTGACCTCTCCTAAGTTCAAAATTTGAAATTTTAGCTTTTGTTTTCAGCTAACTAAAACTTATAAGTCGCGATAAGTCGCGCCGTAAGCGCAAAATCACTCGTAAATACATCTTTAAGAAAAAAATTTAAACGACCAATAAATTTGTAACCTAGTTTTAGAGAACATATTTTACGTCCTCTCTATAATCTTCACAAACAGAAACAAGCATTAAACGTAGGCTGGAGAGTCGAAAGCACGCTATTTCAACAAAACTGAGCAGCAAAGAAACCCCACCGCTGATTTTACCTCTGCCAACATAGCCCAAATGTAAGATAAGAAATTAGTGAGGAATATTTTGTAGGGGAACGCGATCAGTTCCTCCTTGTGCATTCCATTTCTTGACTACACACTCTCATGACATCATTTCAGATAAACTGATTTATTCTTTCAAACGATTTTTAAATTACTCCAATATCTTTACTTTTGAAGGACCTCAGCTGGCAAAACCTGCTGTACACAAAATTGATTATAAATAAAATGTAATATGGATATTATAAAGAACCTAAATGGTTTAGGAATGAAAGCAGAGAGTCAACAGCACCCAAAGTTGTAGCTGACATTCGGAAGACGCTTGGCAAAAATTTTAGTCCTACGTACTTTTATTCTGAAATGGCAATGAAATTCAGAAAACCATTACTAAAGCTCGCTTCTAAAACCGACTTTTCAAAGAATTGTCACAAAAAAATTCTCCCTTGTTAGTTAAGAAACGAGCCGTGTTTCAAGAAACGTTGACTAGACTTTTAGGTAAGTGAATAAATAAAATGAGGTAGCAAAAGTAAGTGCTATAAAAGACCATCACTAGTCGAATGAACAAATATTTTGCGTTAAACTTTAGGTCCCATAGAAAGATTCAATTGCTTGAAAATCCAAGAGTGTAACCGTTCAGCAAAACAACCGCATCAAACGCCTTGCAGAACGCAGCATTTACAGACTTAAATTTACATAACTAATCAATTCTCCCTAAACTGCACAGAAATGGCCCAACAATTACAATCCAGAACTGTAAATCTTCATAAAAGCAAAGCTTACCTTATTAAAGCTTCCAAATGAAGCTGGGATGAAACTGGTAAAAACACCTCACAATCGCCAAAAAATTTCTCCCTTTCATAACCCTGAAACCTAAGAAGCAGTGCTGAGAAACATGTCCAAAACTCCAAAAGCGGCAACCTAAGCACTTACATCCACAACAAAAACGTCGCCTCCTCCTTCACAGTCATTAAGCGATAATACGGGTGGATCAACATGAACAAAGCCTTCATCCTGTAATTAAAAATGATGTAGTTTTTAAAAAGTGGAACCTTGAGTGCTCTGACAAGAAATACAAGTGACGGTAAACTTAATGACCAGTGTTCGCTGATATCTAGAAAAGAACAGGATTTAATACAAAATTTTATAGTAATTGTGAAAAAAAAAAGTAGGAAAACTGATAAGAAATAAAAAAAAGCCATTTTTTAGGAAAAAAATCTTGAGCAAAAAAAACTGCAGTTTACAAAAAAATTTAAAAACAAAGATTTTTTACGTTGAAAAAGCGATGTGAACTGCAATGAAGTTGAGATCTAAACTTCAAAACAGATGCAAAACTGCGAGACTTGGACCGCAAATGGAGATCTTTTCTGAAATCACCTGCATCCTCATCGTAAATCTAAAAACAACTCAGATATGCGGAGAAAGAATACAATAATAAAGAGCAAATTGCTTGAACTATCTGAATTCCAGTTCAGCTTTTGCAAACTAAAGCTCTCATCACTCCTGAATTTCCACCAACAAACTGTTTGCAAGGTCAGTGGTTTGTCAAGATTCTGCATTTTAAATAACGCAATGATCAGTTGCAAATTCGCTTTACTACAACTACTCCCATCCGTCACACCCTTTCAAAGTAAGCTAAAATGATGAAATATCAATTCCACAAACATGTTTGGGCAGTAACTGTCAATAATAGAAAACTTAGCGACCAACTGCACTTCAGT